TTATATTAAAATTGTATATAAAATATTATATCTCATACATATATTGTTTGAACAATTAGAGTATTTTTAAATAGTGAGACAACCTTGCACATACTTTAAAACTAATTATTCCTTAAGATGATTTTAATAACATGTGGCACACTGCCAATATTAGTTTGGAGCAATAGTGAATTCCATGAAATTAAATTTCCTTTCGTGCATATACCACATAAATAAAAAAAATTTTAGTGATAGGATGTCAAATTATTATTATTTTTCTTATGTTAAAAGTAAGTTTTAGGTTTTATACGGTAAAAGAGTAGGGATATATAGAGCTGAAGTTCTGGTAACCAATAATTTTGTTATAGTCACTAATTTTAATTATAATTTTATTAGTTTATAATTTTTTTACACAATTAATTATAATATTTAAAAATATTTATTTATAAATTAATTTTAATACATTAAATAATAAACATTAGTTATTTTGTTAATTATTAATTAGTAATTATTTTTAACATTTAAATTAAAAAAATTAATTATTTTAGTAACTTTAACAAAATTAATTATGACCATAATCATAAGCAGAGAAAAAATATCTATCTTTCTGGAGATTTTGCTGGTGATGTCAATCTCCATGGCATGCCCTCATTGGGTCCTCTCCAACTATTTCATCACTTCATGTTGCACTTTTGAATATACTATTTTTTTCATATTTGTATTATCCTTCAATAAACAAAGCTTAATATGTATTATCCTTCAATAATTAAAGCTTAATTATTTTAGAAAGAGCAAAAAAATATGTTTTAGGACTGTACTTGATCATGAAAGAACATGGACTCGAACAATATATATATATATATATATTCTTTTCTATATTGGGAAGAAAAAGAGTTCTACAGTGGAAATTAAATCGTTATTGCAAATCAAATCAGGAAACTGGAATTTCGTTTGGTCTGATAATTCAACTTTCATACTATATTTATTTTTTATGGATACACACAATTATGTTAGTTGTGTTTTATATTTATTTATGCCAATTGTGTGTTTTTTTTTTTTGGGGGGGTTGTGTTATATTTATCCAAAACGGATAACATGATAAAATCAAATATCAATTTCCGTATACGTATATGCATGGTTTCTAGTTTTGCAGGAAATATACCCCCTCCACTCTATATCACTAGGTTTATAGATTAGTTATTAAATGTGTTTAATATTGTTATACTAAAATTTTTTATTTTC